AGAAAGTGTACTTTACTGAAGTGTTGGTATAAGATGGATTTAAAGCCGCTTTAAAGTAAGTTTGAAACAAACAATACTTAACTATAAAATCTTCTAATAAATACCTCACTAGCAGAAATGTTAGAATGTCGACTTGAGAAGGCGTGAGCCATGAGTTCGAATTTAGGTCTTTCCTTTTTTTTTTTTTAAATGCTATCAAAAATCAATTCACCCAGATCTCCCTTTCTTTCTTCCCCCACCCCTTCACAGAGAGTCCAGATAAGTAATAGGATCATAGCGTATTGAAAAAGTTAAAAGAATGAAAAACCAAAAGGTACAAATATTTCTAATCGCACAGATTTATTGTTATTGGTCTAGATTTAATACAAATATCATAATGACTAATCCTAACTAATTGATACAATGACACTTCGTATAAGTTTTTTAAAAGTTTTTAATTTTTTTTTTCTTCATATTTTCTTACTGAAAAGCTACGATTATTGTGCGGGCAGGGAGGCGTGGTGGCTGAGCGGTCCGGGGTTCGAATCCTGGTGAAGTCTGGGCCTTTTAATTTCGGGATCCTCGGGCGCCTCTGAGTCCACCCAGCTCTAATGGGTACCTGACATTAGTTGGGGAAAAGTAAAGGTGGTTGGTCGTTGTGCTGGCCACATGACACCCTCGTTAACCGTAGGCCACAGAATCAGATGACCTTGAAATCATCTGCCCCATAGACCACAAGGTCTGAAAGGGGGAACTTTACTTTTTTGTGCGGCCAGGGTTCAATCTTGGTCCCATCGTAAAGACGTACAGCTCTGAGGTAACCATGAAGCTTTGGGCACCCAGTTATACGAGGGCGTCCCTGTGTGCGCTCTCCTCGTATTGGCATCCATGTCATTGTATGCGTAATTCATTGTGTCGGTGGACATGTCCCGCAAACCTCATGCGACGCTCGGTCACAACCACACTAAGTAATCAAGTCCCAGTTTAGTTCATTTAGACTATTCTCATTTTTGGCAGATCACTTCCATGTTGTTTTAGCAATGTAGCTTCTGTATTGGAACTGAAATCTCATTGAAACTAAGTCTAAAAATATTGAGGTACTTTCAGTGTTTCAATTAGTTATATATAGGCCTACTAATGTTTAACATTGTTCTTGAGAAGATGGATATTTGTATGTAGGCCTGCCCAAACGTTAGGTTTCATGTTTGATACAATTAATTTTGAGATTTTTTCACACTTATCTGCAGTTTTAGAAAAAATGAATCTAGACTGGTCTAGCTATCTGAGAGCTGGTCTACGCTGACAGGCCCACTAGTGTTCTGAATAAGCAAAAATAAACAACAAAAAAACTAATAAATTTAAATGGCTTTTAAACACGAATGACTAGGTTAAGTTTGTAAAATGTACATGTTTCGTATGTTCAGATTTGAAGATAATTAGGCCTACATTCTAGCCAAACACCTCCCGCAGGACGACGGGGATGGCAGCTGGCAGGGTTGTAACCCGGGACCATCGATCGGCAGCCCAGAGCGCTTACTACACTACCACATATGGATAAGTAGGCCTATAAGTGAAACTACTCTTCTTTTTTGAAGGAATCTTTGTAGTTTATAAGGTAAGAGAGGATATCGACACCAACAGATTTTAGATAGAATATGTTCCGTATAACAGAAGCCTGCTCTAAGCAATATCTAGTGTTAAATGGTATAAGAATTGTTTTCCCTATGAGAACTGCTGTCTTCAACAGGATTCGAACTCTGGACCCCAAGATATCATTTAATTCTTTTAAAATTATAGTTTAATTCATTTGTATTTATTTGGCAACAGTGAAAGTTCAATTTAGCGTCCTTGTAATTGTAAAGTCTATTGTGAAAATCTCCAGTAGCAAAACACATTCGGCTTTCATGACAATAAAAATGATAGCAGCTTAATATTAATTATTCCTGGGGCAACTGGTAGTCATAGATTTGCTTATTCATTTTATTTCAGGATTTTCTATATATTGTACATCTGTTGACATCTATGATGTTAAACATCCGGTGACGTCAACATCTAATTATTTTCAACAGTTTCATGAAAGAAAAAAAAGGGGGGGGGGGGGAGTTTCAGACACAAGGGCCTTTAGACAGGGCCGGCCTTAGGCAGTTGGAAGCCCTGGACGAAGTAAATTAGCTGTGAATTGACAGCGAAATACTAAAATTGTGCAATTTATAATAATAAAAAAAAGTGTTCTCCAACAATAAAATTTGGCAACGTTTTCGCTATTTCTTCTCTTTAAAAAATTGTTGAGAATCCCCCCCCCCCTTATGGGGGGGAGGTGGCTGAGTAGTTTAGCGCTTGGCTTCCTAACCTGGAGTCCTGGGTTCGAATCTAGGAGAAGAATGGAATTATGAAATTCGGGATTTTTAGGGCGCCAACCAGCTCTAATGGGTACCTGGCTTTAGTTGGGGAAAGTAAAGGCGGTTGGTCGTTGTGCTGGCCACATGACACCTTATCCGTAAACCGTTGACCGAAACTGAAGAAATAGATGACCAGACATTATCTGCCCCATAGATCGAAAGGTCTGAAAGAGGAACTTAATTTTTTTTTTCTATAGGTGGCTGTCTAGTTTACCTATGTCTAAGGCCGGCCCTGTTTTAGATTGTGTATCAAGGATTGGCCTCTTTAGTCACACAAGAAGTTGCAAAGGGAAAAGATCGTCTCTCGAGACGTAAAATACCACAGGAATTATATGTCTATGTAGTCGACCAAATGTGAAGGGCTCGATATTTTTCAAAGGAAATTTTTTTAGGCTATAAGATCTAGGTGGAAAACTAATCTGCCACAACTTGTAGAGGGAAAAAAAATAAAAGAATAGGTCAGGCTAACAATAAAAAACAAACTGAACCCAATATAGCTTTAGCAAGATCTAGATCTATACTCTAATCTAATTAATTTTCCAGACCTTTTAGTTAATTAGACTCATTCCAGTCAGGCTTGGTGTTGGATACGGTTGTAACGGAGGGGGAGAGGAAGATTTGTCGATCTACTGAAATACATTTATTTATAAATTTGGATACGGAGGTGCCATTATAACAATGTAGCTAGATAATCTCGATTCCCCCTTTTTTTTTTTACGATCACATCGTTTGATCGTCTAAAGAGCTGAGCCGAAGGCTCTTTGAGCTCTAAGTTTGAAAAAAAAAACCTGTTTGGACGCCCAACAGTAAAAAAAAAAAAAACTTGTGGGAACACAGTTCTGTTTGAGAGAGACCCTAGTCATTGCCTATGTAAGGCATTGCTATTTCCGATGCCTTTGGCCCCCGACGCATGCTTGGCTGCACATGGCCGAAGGCCGAGGACATCGGGAGCCTCCGCCATTTTCCTTCGTTTTACCAAGCTAACCGTGGAGGACTCGCCATTTTGTGTAACGGTCCCTTGAGGAACAGCGCATGGATGTGTGACAGGTTTGTGGGGACTCTTTTGCAACCCCGCCCGTGCAATGGGTGGACTCTCGTCTACCCGTGGGCATCCCCACGGGAGTCTTGTGTTGCTACCCATTTAGCCTAACCACTTCCTCTAATGGTCGTTTCTACACGAGCGCCACGATGAGGCAGAGTAGCGTGCTCGCGCACGATCACACACAAATACATACACAGTTTTAATGGAATAAGTAAACAAGAAATATAAGTTAGGTTAAATATTTATTCCTACTGTAGCTATGTTGGAGAGGAATCTGTTGGGACGATGTCCGCCATTGCCTATGATGGGTGGTGCGGGCCATATGCGGCATCATGTGGTGAGGGGTATCAAACTTTCTACCAATATGTAGATATATGTTTTTTTTTTAATTATTATTATTGAAACTCGAAATGCCGGTGTATTGATCTGCGTGTAAAAAGACCTGCATACTATCAATCTTAAGCGATTCGTAGACCACCTAATTAAAAAAAAATAATCTGACACTATGTTGGCATCACGAAAGAGTGGAAAAGAATTCGAATAACAGTTGGTGAAATTAGAGTCTACCATCCAGTACCATCTAGTCATGAGAGAACACATGCTTCATTTTTTCAAGCCAAGATTGGTACCAGGTGAAGTCTGCTGTGAGCAGAAGTTTAGACCGGCTGGATAGACCCGTGTCGCGGGCCGTAATTTGGACATAAATAGGTCAATATATCTATTTTAGAAACAAAAAAGTTTACTGTTGGGTCAACTCTCTATGGGATGAGCGTGGCTGAGTGGTTAAGCGCTTGGGGTCCTGGGTTCGAATCTCAGTGACTGGGATTTTAAATTTTGAGCTTTTTAGGGCGCCCCTTAGTTGGGGAAAGTAAAGGCGGTTGGTCGTTGTGCTGGCTTCATGACACCCTGTTCGTTAACTGTTGGCCAAAGCAACAGATGACCTTTACATCACCTACCCTACAGAACGCAGATGTTTTTTTACAGCTCTCTATGGACTAGGATAGATTTAATTCTGTAATTTTCTAACAATCATCATCTCAATGGTTAAGGCGTCAACAACACTTTTAATGTAATAAATAAACTTGGTTTATTGACTATTATATACATCGATAATATTAAGAGTAACTAATGATCTATTTATAGAATATATGCGAAGAGAGGAAATCATAAAGTCAAGCATTATAGTATGGCGCAAATACCACTAATTACAAGAATTAAGAGGGAAACACACAGACAGAGACACACACACACACACAGACAGAGACAGAAAGAGAGACACACATATAGAGAGGGAACACACACTGACATATATAAACAGACGAAAATGGCATTTCCATTCCCTATCGGTTAAAAAGAACACCAGTTAACGATCAAACAATGCAGTGAAACAGGTAAAAGGTTAAGTTCTATAACAACAATTAACACTCTACTATTTCACCGTGTCTTCTAAAAGCAATTAATGTTCATCTGTAATTTCTATTACCCTGTCTCAATTATCAAAATCAGCGTTTAGCCTTTTAGATTGGGGGGAAGTAGTGTACCATTGCATATGTGCATGTACATACGAGTGTGCATAGATATATATATATATATATACATGAATTATATTTATATACAATGGAGACACGACATTAAAATTGGTACTAGGCGAAATGAATAAACTAAACCGGTTAAGTATATTTCAAAGATCTATATTATGAACTAACTAATGTTTACACATAGTTCGAATTCAAAAGTAGCATATCATGACAAACTGGATCTAGACGAGACCAAACACTGATCCTCGACGTCGGAACCTTTGGGCAGTTTAGACCAATAGTTCTTTGCCACGTCACAGGTCGTCAATAAACACTCCCTGTTAATAACGCTTTAATATTAACTACTATTATTATATATGCTTAATTTCCTACTAAAGCAATAGTAATAACTAAAAGAAACTGAATGATGGCCAGGTACTCGCTAGGACAGTTATAGACAATAAACGATAAGCCAATTAATTCAAAGTAATGACAAAACAACAGGCTTTTTATGCTGTTTATGCGTTATGTAGGGCCTCATTTTTTTTTTTTTTTTTTACATTGCATGTAGAAGTATCTAGTGTTCAATCTATTGGAGCCACATGAAATAACAAATATTTCCAAGCATATTTTTACAAAATAATATTTTTAAAAAAGGGTGATAATGCGATAAAATGAAATAATAAAAATATCTAACACTGAAATATGTTTCACAAATTACAAGTGGTTCGTTAATAAATAAAATATTTCTTGCCAAGTATAATGCACACATTTGTCGAGATATTCAAAATGTGAAGGTTTTTTTTTTTTTTTAATGTAATAAGCTTTGACCATTTTCAACCGTTATTTTAGCTCCGGTGCTACAGGATTGTGGGATTGCAAAAGGGAACATAAAATTGTAAGAATTGTAATACTTTGGTATAGTTTTTGAGTGCTCTCCTCTTTTCACGTGAATCAGAATAGAAAATATTTTTTTTGTAATTTATAATTCAAATTTTAGGCTGTCTTGTATTTGTTTAATTTTATTTATTCATATTGCTCAGTTCTTTGTTGTCTTTTTGGAAGGATGATAATATATGGTAAGGAAATATTATTTCTTGCATAGGGGGAATAAGAGAATTTACGAGCTATTAATATTTAATCAATTTCAACAATAAAAAAAAATTAGGTTCAAAATGAAAAAATTGAAAAAAAAATACAAATAAAAATAAAGCGATGATGCAAAATACATTATATTAAGGCAAGCAGATCTTTCAATGTTTCTAACTTAATTAAGACTCTGTTGGTGTTGCCTCCTTTCCTTTTGCTTTCTCTTTTTCTTTCGACTTTTTCTTCTTCCTTTTTTCTTTTCGCTCTTCCTGCAGATGTTTGTAAGTTTCCACTATGGAGACTTCGTCCTCTTCCTTACTGCGGTGACAGAGAAATTTACGCTGAATAGAGGACACTTTATTGAGGCTAACAATAGCGAACGCGATAATTAGAATCAGAGCTGGAATAGACACCGACAAGAGGGGGATGAGCCATCCCGATATGTTCCCGGAGCCGGAATCTTCCCCTGAATCTGCATCGCTACCACAAATTGTGTCTCTTAATGGAGTGCAACCTGAAAGAATATGGTGTCCTTGTTTGCACACGGTGCATGGCGCGCAAGTATAGATGTCAAGGTCGGACTTGGTCTTAAAGTATCTTTCCGCGCAAACAAAAACGGTGTCTCTGGATTGGTTACAAGGGAATTGAACTAGGACACCTGGGCTTCGTATGTCTGTACAAGTCTTACAAGCGTTGCAGCTTTGGTAATTCATGTCCATGAATGTTCTGTTTAGACACGGCCGACATATTTGAACATCCGCGTCATAGAATTCTCCCAAAAGACAGTCCCCGCCGCCACAAACGATGCTCTGCCTCAAGACAGCTCCGTCCAATGCAGTTAACAAAAGAAATAAAACAATACTTTTAAAACAGATTGTTTCCATTTTTAAAAAAAAATTTACTAGGTTTTTAAAAGTTCTTAAAACTGTGTTTTTGTTTCTTTTAATTGAACTCGTGCCAACTAAGAACTTCCAAATTTATTTGTTGAATTTCAAATTGAAGATTGCCTATGGCGTTCTTCGTCTATGTTTCGTTATGTTGATGTTAGAAGCGATGTGTGGATGTTATCACATCAAGATGGCTAGATGATGACTTTCTTTTTTATAAGAAGTTGCTGAATCCAAATTATTGGCAACTAGATCTATGTGATTCCCGGAAATATACAGACTGGAGACTTGATCTGAAGACTCATTAGCACCCCGTTGTTTCGCGACCTGTTAAGAAAAAAAAACGACAATCAAAATATAAAACAATACTAAAAAAAACAACAACAAAGCTTAAATAAGTAAAAGAACGCACAATGATTGTTATATATATATATATATATATATATATATATATATATATATATAAACGTCAAGATTTATCTCCCTTTTCTATGCAAAACAAAATTAATGAGTTACCACGAATTAATTAATTAATTGGTTAAATTTTTTGATTGATTTATAAGTTGTCATCGACAATGAATATTTGTGCAAAGTTTCAACTTGATCCGAGCGTGGGAAGTTGGAGAAATAATGTCAAGAAGACTTCTTCCAGAAAGACAGAGTGAGTTCACATAAGCTTTGTAAAAAAATAGAGTATAATTTGAGTATTAATTTACTTAATTGTGATAGATACGAGATATAAATAGTTCTATAAACGTCAACAAAAGACTGGCTAAACATTTGAATACCTTTTTATTGGAGGGTGGGGGAGGACGGAAAGCAAGAACTTTATTTTACATTGTACATGACGGTACATTGGAACAACAACGTGACTTAATTCCCAATTAAAACACTTTCGATACAATACGTTACGTCACGTGATTATTCTACGCCAGGCTCGGGTTTAAGGAATAGGATACACTTGGCATAATATCGTGTAGGTGTCAAGAGAGGGGGTGTGTGTAAGGTGTTAGATTGTGTGTGTGTTTGTTTATTGTATTGAGTTGTGAATTGTTTTTAGCACGGGGTTTTCAAAGGGGGGGGGGGGGACAATAAGGTTTCCTGTGGTCAGTTGAAGAGCTGACCTGGTCTGAGTAGGGTGCTGGTGATTGTTGTCAGTTGCATTGCCTATATTAAGGAGATATTATTTCTGACATGTGCGCGTACTGGATATATGGGGTAATGCATGTTGTGTCATGATACCCTTAATTAATATATTATTGAATCTAGTCTAGGCGCCCTGGAATATTTAACTTGGGCACATTTAAGTACTCTTACTATTGATGATTATGTATTCTATATTAAGTGTTTAACCAGTTGAAATGATGTAAATAAATAAAAGAAAGTTTTACTCTGTTGTTAAGTGTTCTTTATAATACGTCTACAGTTAGGGCATTAAATTACGCCCCTTAATGAAATAACCCGCGAGTTCGTTAACCTTAGTTTAAAAAAGGTCAAACTCTTCATATATATATATGTACTATCCAGTATCAGAGTCATACCCTTAGTATGCCTACATCGAGCCATTTATCTACAGTAAGAACTACCCCAAGTTCTTTACAGTAGGCCCCAACCCTCTTAGAAATAAATCAAAAACCAAAAAAAAAAAATTGAAGTTTCTCTTTCAAACATTCCTATCTATGTGGCAGATGATGCAAAGGTCCTTTGTTTCAGTAACCAAGGGTTTACAAGGGTATCACTCGGCCAGCACAACAATCAACCGCCTTTACTTTTCCCACAATGTCCGCTAGGCTACCTATGTAAGCTGGATGTACTCCGAGAAGCCCTAAAGATCCCGAAATTAAATACACCAATTTCATACCAGGATTTGAACCCGGGACCAGAAGCCAAGTGCTTGACCCCTCAGTTATCGCCCCCTACCCCTCTTTTGAAAAGCTTCAATAAAAAACACTGAATTGATATTACTGATTACTGCTTAGAGCTACGAGCATGTCCTATCTTTACCCATTGTTCCATAAGAAATAGAGTGTCTCCATTTTTATTTCAAAATAATGTTTTACAGTTAAAAGCTTCCAAAAGTAATGTATACTATTGTCTTTTACATTAAAATGCATCAGATCAATACCTAGGTGTCAATATCTTATTGCCGTGTCCGTGATAGCAGGCTATAGGCCTATTTTTTTTTAGTTTGTGGAGGGTGAGCCCCAGTACAGCCGCAAAGTCTGTACTGCCCCTAAATCCGGCTCTGATATTCTACGCTAATTTAAAATACATTGTTAATGTTGCAAATGTAGCAATAATTGCTATGTTGTTGTTTTTTCTATTATTGGGCCTCACATTTTCTGCCGAACCTTGTATCAGGATCGAAACACGGACCGACATTTTAAATGACCTACACAGCAAAAGATAGACAAGTGACGTAGGTAGAGGTTAAAGTTTAGGAAAAGGTCAACTAGAGCTATCTCTGTAAAGTACATAAACTAATATAATAAAACCAGAAAACACTCCGAGACAGTTTAGAATATATCTATATACCCTTAGCTAAGTATAGGTCTGCAATAGTCTACCTACAGTCTACATCAGTGTTTCCCAAACTGTGTTCCGCGGAACCTTAGTGTTCCGCGAAGCCTGAATAGGTCTATGTGTTCCAAGAGCTACTGGAATAATTTATCTATTAGGCCACCATGTGAATTAATCTCTCTAAAAAAATAAGCAAAGTTTTCCGCTAAATACTCAGAATGTACGAAGTGTTCCGTTAAGTAAAAAGTTTGGGAACCACTGGTCAACATGATTAAACAAGCCAGCTTGGTAAATACGGTCTTTGTTCCTAGTAAAAGCCAATAATTTTTTAAGACACCTGCACTGACCTAAAAAAAATAATTTTTAAATGTCGAGAAAAGACCTGTTTTTGTAGTGAAATTTTTGTCCCCAATACCATTTTATATTACCGGTATTACTAAAGCGGATGCGTAATGACGGGGGGGTGGGGGGGGCAAGAGGGGCACGATGCCTTGGGCGCCTATATTTGTATGTGACGTTCATGGAAAATGAGGGATGGGGCGCCAATAATTCACCTTGTACCTGGCTCACGTTTTGCTCACTACGCCCCTGCACTAAAGGCTACTGCAATTATTTCATTTCATCTCAAGTTGAATATGTCTATAATGTAATAACAGTGACATTTAGTCTTGTTCACAAAGAAGTTATTCAAGTTATTTCCAGCTTTATATGTTAAGATATGATACGCCTACACCGGTTTAGTTGTCTACCAGCAGTTTTGAGCCTCAATTAAATAACTATCAGCAAACACCCCGGCTGACAACGGCTGTGTCTGCATCAAATGAATAATGATTTGCGTAGTCACGTGTAGTACTGCACTTATTCTTAATCTTCGGAATTGATTGCGTAGTCACGTGAAGTACTGTGCTTATTCTTAATCTTCGGAATTGATTGCGTAGTCACGTGAAGTACTGTGCTTATTCTTAATCTTCGGAATTGATTGCGTAGTCACGTGAAGTACTGCACTTATTCTTGATGTTTGAGTCAGGGAAGCGTAGCTTTTTTTTTTTAGAACCACTGATAAATACATTCCTAATTGTCCTAGTTTGCCGAACAGATTCATTTCTTTTAAATAGATAGTTGTATGACTTTTTTTCATCACTTCGATAGATCTGTTAACTTAATGTAGAATATCTATTTTATATGCTGAGCAGGGCCGCCGTGAGGGTTGTGGCCGCCTGCGTGCGAAATTAAGAATTGCCGCCCCCTTTTTTATAGAAAAAAAATTCCATTAAGACTGAGCTGGATACTACCAAAAGTGCATTTTCATTTAAATCCAATTTTTGAAGGCCATTCCTTTTTTTTTCTTTCACATTTGCACCGCTTTTGTACCCCTCAAGTACAACTATAAATCATGCACTAGGAAAAATTTCGGATATCCCTGCATTCAGAAACCTGACATTTTGGTTCATTGTGATAAATATTACAAACTGATGAGCAGGTATAGTACAATGAACAGTGTCATTGATCATGATGTATATATACAATTTCTCGATAACTTTGACTGCTCAACAGTGATATATGGTCTGGACGTGAAAATGTTAACTTGTTTTTTTTTATTGAAAGTGAAAGCATAATCCGAAAAAAAAAAGCTCTAAATACAAAAGCCATTGACAGTGGAACGTTTTCAACACTTTCATAATAATCACAATTGTATTTTG